AACTTTTTGAATTTGTTTTAAAAAAATACTTTCATGCTCTGGGGAGCCATGTATTATGACTTAGAGAAAAAAGGACATATTTGTGATGGCCAAGCCTGGTTCGGCCTCATTACGCGAAGCCGAGCCCGTTTGCTTACTGCACATTTAGTGCCTCTCTAGACACGCATTCAACTGTAACAGAATGCACCCCATGTTTTCTCCCTCGCATACGTCGATACATCATCAGTCTCCATGCTAAGGCTTGATGCCTAATTTCAGTCGACCAATTATCACCAGTACTTCATAAGGCTGGCGTATGAAGTCTTGCTACCGTTCAGCTATATTCTCGCCATCCAGACCTAAGCCAACTATTTTATCCACCTGATTCCGCCTTCTCACACAAAATCGAGTTTAAAGTCCCACTGCATTCAGAAGCCTACTTCCACATCTATCAATTAAATTATTATAAAATGTTTCTAGCCGTAAGGATTACGCCACGGGACCATCACCTTTCAGTGGACGACGCCTGTTGACGTGTCGATCCCGCACGCGGCCTTTGAGCGCCGTTCATCCCGCTTCACTATAGCGCCACATCTTTAAGCATCTACATAAACTTCTGAACCAGATATATCGCACGTGCCAGCATCTTAGTGTAGTTCGCTAGGTCATAGCTTCCTTGGGTTAACGGCTACCGCTTCTCTACGCCATATATTTGTATTAAAACAGATTCAGTTGAACTTCTGCATGCAAGAGGACCGCACGCAACCAAATTGGAGACCAAAACAAAAGGCCCTATCAAGCTTGTTCATAAGTCTGTTTATTTATAACAAGACTCTTTGAACTAGCATAAAGTAACTCTACTACCGGCCCTTAAATCATCGTAAGCGGCCTAAAGTGACTAAATTTCTCATTTAAAAACGACTAGTAGCCACAAAATTACTAACAATAATAATAAGTAACATCGCCTAATGGAATAGCAAATACATTTTTAGTTTAATAACAATCCCATATGGTTTACCTTGAACGCCATAGGTGTTCTAAGATCTACTGGCACCCGTGGTTGTGTAGCGGATTAACGTCATCGCTCCGATGCTTACGACCTAGGGGCTAATGTGTCTATGTCAGTTCGATGATGCAGTCAAACTCGGAAAGAAGGCAAAGCTGAGTTACATTAAATGGTACTGTGAGGCCTACCCATATCACTCTGGTAAATACTAACCTATCATGATATAGAAAGATCTTAAGGAAGTAATTTGCCTAGAGCCATAGAATTGACACCACTTCCATTTATTGTGCCCTTAACCGATATCTAGTAGTGGAGATCCACCCGCCTGACAGCGCGCTACCATGGTTACTCTCTTTCTAATCCCACTTTAATTACTCATTTGCACTCCCGATCACTTTTAAACATTCGAATGCTACTGCATTAAAACAGCGAAATTTTATACACCTTATTTTTAAAGCTTCTTCATAACATGCTGCCTTTTTCTATCTTGAAATGAGGACTTGAGTCTTGCAAAACCTTATATAGAGGTATAAGCCGAAAATAATGATAGAAATTGCAGGACAGTGCGCCGAGGACTTCTGTCCTCAAATCAATGATCGTAAAACTTGGTTTTTGATAATATAAATGCATATATATGTTTTTTTCTAATATTGTTTTAACAATCATTTATCCATCCTCTGATTCAAAAAACGCAATATCAGCCTTGCCCTCAGCAACCAACACATCTAAATCAAACAAGCAAGCAATAAGTAATTTCATACAAGAGTAAGCAGAAATTCTTGAATATTCGCTTTTATCCACTTGTCAATATCATAGACTTCCAGAGTGGGAATGAAAAAGTATTCCCAATATATGGATGAGTTAGTTCAAACTCAAAAAATCTCAAAAAAAATTATGAGGATTAAGAAACTTTAAGTGTGAGGACAAATAATAAATGAGAAATATATGGGATAACTTACCACTTAGCAATGAAGAGGTTCAAGATAGGCATGCGATCATGCCATTATGATGTAAAAATTATAAGCAGTTACTATTTTATATGCATTAGTTTATGATAACAAACACTTGTCTTTAAATTGTAAACAGTCAAAAGAAATTGGTAGAAAAAATACAAGGATTTTCAACTAAATAGTATGAACATAAATTAATCATGCAGATAAATTAGCATAATTTTTAGACATTTCCCACCTGGGTGTAATTGAAGCATGCGCATTGCGGAAATAATCGGTTCTTCTACATTTAGATAGCAGCATTTGCAAGCACAGCTCACGGACCTTAGAAGGTCCCGGCCATTTGCTGCCGTCTCCGTCATCAGCTGTCTTAGTCGAAGACCTGGCGATGCCATCACTGAAGCTATTGTAGTTTTTTTTGAAGTAGCTTCACCCTGTAAACACACATGTTGGGACCCAGAAAACTCTGACCAAGATGGTTTTTGTTGTAAATCTATGGCCGCAGAGTTTAACATTCCAAAAAAGCCAGCTAGCAGGTGGACAGGCATAAGGAAGCCAGCTAGGGCAGAGGGATCATCACCAATGTATACAGGTATAGCTGGGGCTTGGCATGCGATGATCTGTATAAGGAAGATGATGCTTATATATATAGGTGACTAATGGATATAATTTGAGAACAAAATAGTTGCTAATTGGCAAGTGTGAGCTAGGAATAGTGACAAAGGAATAAATGAGGAGTTTATTTTTCGTTTATAAGTTGAGTTTCGAGACTACCAGTAAATCAGTTATATGAGATGTATTCCCCATATCCCGTTTAAGGTGATGAGGGACAGGTAGTTAAATTTCCCCACAATTATATCAGTAGAGCTGACGTTTACATTGAATTTACATAGCCTTGCTTTCCCAAAAGTTATTCTCATCCAGGGTGGACTGCAGTTTCGACCCCCAGTGGAAGGTGAACCTTGATAGTACAGCGTGTGGTTAACGTGTCGAGCTTACACGATGCATTGTGATGGTTAGACTGCCGCTGGGGGTGTCAATAAGTCGACGAGGTCGAAACTGAAGTCAATTTTTAATGAGAAAAGCTTTTGGGAAAGCAAGGCTATACGAAATTTAATGGAAACATCAGCCCTACTTATACCATTGTGGGAGGATTCAACTACCAGTCCTTCATAACCTTAAACGAAATATGATAAATACATCGCATATAAGTGAGGAGTGCTTGGATAGATGAAAATACTAGGAAGCAAAACTTAAGTTTTCTTTGAAAAGGACAGGTAGTTAATCAATAGGCTAATTTCAAAATGATTATTAGATAAAGCATATATAAGGGAGATAAAAGAATGCATTGTTTTTGACTAAATCCGCCGTGCCATCCTGTGCACAATAGGAAGTTGTCATTATTCGGACATATAATTTTTTGAGACTTTATGAAATTATTAAAGATAGACAATTAGTAACCTCATCTTTACTGGAGCGCTAGTAAGGCCGCAAGCTTAAAAATAATCAATAATTTCTCACAATGACTAAGGTGCTAAGACTTTAAACATCCAACATTTATAGTCTCAAATAGCGAAAATGATTAACAAAAAGAGTAAAGCACGTAGATGGCTTCAACTTATGATGAGAAATTGTAGCCCTCAGATAAGTGGCGTGTTTTTTAGTATGACTACTTAAAAGGGAAGAATAGAAATTGGCTTATGCAAAATAAAACTATTGCTAATAAGTTCCCTGCAAATCTTATGATATACTTTAAACTCCTCCCAAGGCCTATAAGGAATTCTGAAGTGAAAAATGCAACACAAAAGAAATAATCTAAAGGCTCAACTTTAAATGTATAACTTCGTTTGGTAATGATGTAATACCAAAACTAAATATGGCTTCTCAAAATATTTCTTGAACAGG